AAGAAGATAGAGGAAAAGGAGAGAGACAGAGAGAGGGAGAGAAAGAAAGAAAGAAAAAAGGAAGAACATGAAACTTTACTTTACACTTAGGCCTACATATTACATTACCGACTGAGTTTGATCGACATGTGCTTAAGTAGTCTGCGGACAAAAGTACAACAATACGAAAACAGAAGTTATATGAAAGAGAGAAAGAGAGGTTAAATTCTAAAATGAAATGAAAGGGGTTATGTGACTCTCAAGGAGGAAATTACAATTTCTATCGCTCATGACGACTATTTGGAATTTCCTAAAAATGTTTAAAGTTCAAGAACTTCCTGGGGCTCCGCCCCATGCAAGACTCCCGGCAACAGCAAATTATTTACACAATTTCTTGCTGTCTGCTGCCTCGAGATCACTGGAGCGAAGAAAGGTAACATATAGCAAGAATCCCTATTCAGTGAAGGATTTATCCCTTTTATTATTAAAGACTCCCGACAAAGGCTCTCCCCCTGCAAAATTGGAGAGAGTTTTATGTAGTTTAAGCTTCTAACAACCACGCCCGTGGACCTTTTATTATTTACACAAAGGTAAAAGTGTATAGCAAGAATCCCTATTCAGTGAAGGATTCGTCTTTTTTATGCAGATGCTTCTTCTACCATTCTTGACCAAAAGTGCGTTTCAAACTCAATGATATTGGCATCATCCCATTGAATGTTGTGTCAAGTGTTACGGGTTTGTTTTGCTACTTGCTGCCTAATCTGAGGGCTCTGTTGTGCTCTTTAAAAAGAGGACACAATAGGGGCAGCGCAATTTAAATATCAAGGAATGTATTAGAATTTATTTCTAAAATGAAATGAAAGGGATATTTGACTTTCAAGAGCAATAAAAACTCTAATCCATCCCTTGAAATTTAAATTGCACTGCCCCCATTCAGTGTGCTATTTTCAAAGAGCACAAAAAGGCTTCAGATTGAAGATTCCATCTCATAAAATTGTCTATAAGAGAGAAAGAGAGCCTTATTTCTGAAATGAAAGGGCTATTTGACTTTCAAGAGCGATAAAAACTCTAATCCATCCCTTGGAATTTAAATTGCACTGCCCCATTCAGTGTGCCATTTTCAAAGAGCACAAAAAGGCTTCAGATTGAAGATTCCATCTCATAAAATTGTCTATAAGAGAGAAAGAGAGTTTATTTCGAGAGAAAAAATGAAATGAAAGGGCTATTTGACAAGAGCCCTTTCATTTCATTTTAGAAATAACCTCTCTTCCTCTCTTATAGACAATTTTCTCTCTTGAAAGTCAATAACCCTTTCATTTCATTTTAGAAATAACCTCTTTTTTTCTCCTAAAGACAATTTCTCTCTTGAAAAGGCTCTGCCATGCCCCTCAAGCTCTGCCATGTTGTATGGATCCATTAGAAAGCAAAATAAGCCCACTCAATAATTAATATATATTAAAACGCCAAAGCGATTCATCCAAATAAGAAATCCACGTAAGAGGCATTTTGAAAGTTTTAAGAAAATTACTTCAAATTCCAGGATATTGGATGTTATTTTTCAGGAAACTCTATTTAAACGAGTGGAAGCACTGGCGGTTCTGTTTTTTTTTAAACTGTAACAATTCTCCTTGGATCAGATATAGACCAAAAAACAAGCCTCATTATCTTCAGTATACAAGTGTCATTTCGGACCTTACAGCTTTCATAGAAATCGCTTCTGGACCGTCAAAGAAAAAGTTTGAGAACCCCTGGTCTACGCATTATACACATCAGGACCAACTTGACAACTTGACAAAAATTTGAGGGGGGTTCGACCCCCCCCCCCCCCCTGCGTACGCGCCTGCATGTGCATCCCTTCCTCCTTATTCCCTTATCCATCGTTACCGTCACTACCATTTTAGTAGGGCCGGCCCCCTCCTTTTAACGACTCCCAAGCCATCAAGAATGACCCCATAATAATCCATTATTTATGGATTACCATTCTGCCGTTCTTTGGAGGGGCCGGGCGCGGCCTTTTCAAAAGTGTTTCTACACTAACCTTTTCATGCACTCCGGCTTAACATAAACAAGCATGCTAAGATTTTTTTGAAAAGAAGCATAATTTAGACTCAGTTTCGCATAACCTAAAAATAAGAATACGGCCAGTCACCCCTCCCCCCTCCCCTCAATGCATCCGCCTTTACGCACCCCCCCCCCCTTCCCCTTGTCTTTCCCTTATTCGTCGTTACTGTCACTAATTTTTAGTGCCATTTCATTGTCTTTCTTTCTCCCCGGCTCCTCTCTTCTTTTTCTTTCCTCTTTTTTGAACTCTCTCTCTTTTCTTTACTTTTTTGTTCTCTTTTCTTTTATCTTCTTCTTTTTTTCCCCCATTTTTTTCCCCTCTTTTTTCCTTCTCAATTTTTTTGCGCCGCCAATAGGGGGGGGGGGGGGGGGGCCGCGGCCGTTTCGGCCCACCCCTGGATCCGCCACTGTATATACAGTAGACCACTCTAGCGAGAACAAAATTTCGACACAAATATATGGGTATGCTAGGTTAGGGTAAGGGTTAGATCAATATTGATCAATTTTACCGGGGTGAATAAATAAGGAGATAGATTAAGCTCCAAAATTTGCATTTCTCAAAAATATGAATGGTCCTGATCCTAAAAATACACGTTTGAAGTACATGTAAGTAAACATAATTTCATTTTTGACCCTTTTGTGGACACATTTGGTATATGTTAAAAAAAACAACGGTGCCTTATACTAGAGATCCCTTTTCAATTCCCATGTCCATGCTATTAAAAAGTACATTGAGTAGAGTATCAAATGTATGCACACTATATGCGCTTAATCATTGTGCACTGGAGCGTGCATGGGATCTTTGTATTGAAAGTGAACGTTTTTTTTTTGTCTTTTACACAGGCAGTGATTGCCTTTATATTGTATTACGTAACACAATGCGCTGTAAGGATTCGTAAAGAAGAAAGGCTCTTGTCACATAGCCTCGTCACCCTGGTGACACCAAAGACATAGATATACAAGACATCCTCACATTTACAACCATATGGCCGAAACATCAGTCGGTTTAGCAGTGTAACTTAAAGGGAAATCCAACCCAAATAGACAACACCACTCATAAAAGAAAGCAAAAAAATCAGAGAAGCAAAATGATGAAAGTTTCAATTAAATCTGACTAACTATAATAAAGTTATAAAAGTTGTGATCACTATACATATACTGTCAATGTGATGTGCCGGACTACTTTCGTTGACGATGAGCCATGCACAAAGAAGACGAAAGGCTTGATGCATGGCTGATCGTCAACGAAATGGAGTTAAAGGAAACCAAAACCTTCATACTAAGTTACTTTTCTGGTAAAGTTTAAAAGATTTGAATAAAATCAGTGAAAATTTGAACAAAATCTGGCAAGGAATAAGAAAGTTAGAGCATTTTGAAATGACTAGTCACTAGAGGGCGGTTTTCAATTTGATGACATCATCTGTGAACAACTCTCCATGCTTTTTGTACATAAAATTTCACAATTTTTTTGTTTTCTTCGTATTTATTTGTGTTCTTGATCCGACTTCATAACATGTGAAGTAGAATATCATTTTGCATTCTATATCTTGCTTTCAGGGGAGTACATTATCTCAATCACAAGAAAGAAGGAAAAACATGAAATTTGATGTACAAAAGGCATGGAGAGTTGTCCACAGATGATGTCATCAAATTGAATACCGCCCTCTAGTGACTAGTCATTTCAAAAAGCTCTTACTTCCTTATTCCTTGCCCGATTTTGTTCAAATTTTCACTGACATTTTTCAAATATCTTAAACTTTACAATAAAAGTAACTTAGTATGAAGGTTTTGGTTTCCTTTAAGTCTTTTGCCACCTCCGTTTGTTGCTACGGCAGGCAGCAAGTGAATACGAATTCGTTTAATCAAATTATGGAAATGCAAGCATTACTTTAAACCAACAGAACTTTGTTATTCCTGGCTCATTTTTCCTGATTGAGGTGTCATATGAAAGGACAGAAAATGAACTTTCTAGAAATGTGATTTTCTCTTTGAAATTTAGATACCGCCCTAAAAATGACTTTTTAGTTTCCTGTCTTCAAATTGTTTTTAATCTTTCATGCGTGAAATATGTATCATATGGGTTTATCAAATGGAAGAGGAGGATCTAAGCTTTACAAATAATTGTCATTTATTAATCATAATTGCGATTAAGTTATGATAAAACATCGATGATTCTCGGTTTCGTTTTAATATCTGGGACGCACTGTATAATACATCGTACAATCGGTTTGGAGATGCTTACTGCGCTATAACAATCTCTCAGTTTGCCCCGACTAAATATACAGAAGAAGAAAAAAAACCCAAGAACGACTATGAAGGAATTTAGATAGTACGGCTTTGCTTTTCAATTTTTCTTCTTCAGATAACCCACACACACACGGACCCACACGCACGTGTATATTCATATCGAATGTAAAGTTCATTATGTGCACCCTTTTTCCTCGCGTATCATATCCCCTTTTCTCTTCGTCGTATCCTGTACTAGCTATCCATTCTTTTTGTGTGTATGCATTTTTTCATTCTGTCCTCCCTCCCTCTCTCTTTTGATAACCACATCCCCTCTCTATTTCTCCCATATTTCTATGAATCCGTCTTTCCGCCCCTCGTCCTAACCTTTCGAATTGCAATTTCTGTCTCAGATATCTACAGTTAAAAACTAAATTATTCATACTCTTTCCAAGTTGTGTAATATTTTTTTTTATCTATGTGAAAATTAGTTTGTACCGATGTATGTTTCTTTAGAGTGCCACATATTAAAGCTTACCTCTCAAAGTATTCATTCAGGAAAACCCTAATTCAACCAGTCTACCTTTCATTCTTGAGTCACGAAAAACACAAAATAATCAAATTTAAAAGAGGTATGAATAATTTAGTTGTTAAATGTATCTTCACTTTGTCTCTATGTCCGTCTTTGTGTCTCCTCTCACTCTCCTTTAATATCTTATTTCTTCTATCTGCAGCCCAGTCTATCAGAATGAACAGAGTATAGGTAGACGTATAGCTGAGAGACGCTTCATTTCTACATTTTTTAATCCTTCTGTTTCGACAATGGCCCCAACTTTATTAGGAAGATCAGAGGCCGCAATGGCGGCCATCACCGCTCTCCTGATGCTAGGATTTTTCATAGCGTACCAGACATCTGTTGACTCTACACGGGAACTGCGTTACGCGATGGCATCTGGTGCTAATTCTACACAGTGCTCTTGTGAACATGATGTAGAAACTGCCATTCGTGCTCTTAAGCAGCATTTGTCGGTCAGTGCTGTCACTACAGCCCCGGCTATCAGGATCAAATCACCTGTAACCAGTAGCCTCATGTACCTTCAGCCCGGAAAGGAACGCGTGTGTAAGGATGGCCAAATTGACCATGGATGCTACTGCAAGAAAGCCACCAATGTCTATCCACCCGAAAACATACTTTTAAGCCAAGATATTCGGTGGGCACGAGGATGCAAGAAACGCAGACCCGATGCGATCATTCCAGGAACCATGAAGAGCGGTACTACGGCTCTAAAGGCCTACCTTGAAATCCACCCGGCTATCACTTCCCCAAAGAGGGAATTAAAATTTGCAAACCATCACAAGGTGGAAGAATTTGATGAATACAAGAAAGTCATGCCTTATTCTACCCCAGATCAGATCGCAATAGAGAAAACCGCGGGATATTTCAACAGGATACCAGTCGTAGAGAGACTTCGAGAGGCTTTGCCTGATATCAAATTTATCATAATCATGCGCGAACCGATACAGCGTGCAGTGTCAAACTATATGCACATGCTCGCTATTAAAGTAAAAAGTTCAGGTACTTTACCCATCGTCAAAGAACATTCTTCTGCTCCACAATATGAAATCAAATCTACCTTTCGTGAGTCGGTTCTTTTTCCAAATGGTAGTCTCAAAACGGCTAATCGTCTTCTCGATACAAGTCGATATGTTCGATACCTTAAACAGTGGTACCGCATATATCCTAGACATCAAATCCTTGTCTTGGACGGGGAGGAGTTTACACAGGACCCCCTCCCAAGTCTCCAAAGAGTCGAGGAATTTCTGGGAATTGATCGCTACTTTGACGAGGATAAATTTTTCTTCAACGAGACGAAAGGGTTCATCTGCCTTCGAGATCCTTTTGAGATGTGTATGACAGGTAACAAGGGGAGGCCGCACGAAGAGGTCAGTGATGACTTAATGGAAAAGCTGAGGGATCACTTTAGACCCTTTAATCGGAAACTTGTCAAGGTTCTTGAGCGAGAACTTAGCTGGACGAACTCTTACTGAATATAACAATTACAATTTGAAACATTTGGAACGATTGTAAAGTTGTAGGGTTTAACGCGGGTCTGCACTAAGTTCTAGCTACTTTCGCCCTCTATAGCAAACAATGCTTAAGAGGTACCCGTTGGTCCCCCACGATCCCCTTTTTCTTATTTTAATTGAGAGCTGATTTGATGAGATAACCACCTGTCAGTGACCATGCAGGGAGATCTGGCCAATCTAGTTACTATACCAAGTCCAAAATGTGGTTCATCTTGCAAACCATTTATCATCATCATTATCATTATTATCATTATTGTTATTATTACTATCTTATTATTTTTGACATTACTATGATCAATGTTATTGTTATTACTATTATTATTATTTGTAGAAGTAGTAGTAGTAGTTTTATTGTTGTTTTTTCATACAGGAAAATAATGTAAAACAATTTAATTATCCGGCATGTCCTACTAAAAATTGTGAAAAAAATGGTGTGGAATAGATCAGAAAAGGTTGATCTTGTATGATGTATCATGTAAGTATTGGTGTGTACTGCAAGATTCTGGAATCATCAAAATCATAATAAATTTGGCCCAGTCTTTGTTCAGTTGCAAGCCCTGTACCCTGAAAGATATGGGACTACACAAATGGTGTCGGGCCTACTTACCTTGATTTCCTTATCTTTCTAAGATCATTACTCAGCAAGTATACATTCGACCAAAATTGTTTGGCAAATGACATTCATTTGTAATCTTGAACATTCAGTGTAAGTTTCGTTTGATTCTGTGAGAATTCAATATCTTTTTTTTAAACCAGAACTCAAGTTTATCTTTAAAGGACGCTCTTGAATGGAAAGTCACCGGGGTTTGTAACCGTTTTTTTTATATCGAGGGCGTGGTTGGAATGCTCCGAAAGGAGAGGACAATCATCGGGGTTTGTAACTCTTTTGTTAATGTATAGAGGACAATGTGCTGACATTAACCTACAGGTATAATTATGTAAACATAATTTTAGTCGAGCCATTTCAATTAGATGTCCTCCACTAGTTTTACATGCAGTATTACATTTACTTTCAAGGTAAAAGTGATATTGTTGGAAGGGTAGAAAACATTTTAGAATTTTCCTCATTTCACTTTAAAAACAGATTACATTGTACAACTTTGTGAAGTGCCTCAATACAAATTATTTCATTCACTTGATAAGAATAATAGTTTTTCAATATTCAAAATGCAAACTGCATATATTAAGTGGTGTTGCTAGGTGTTTGTCCTACCCGGCAACAACTAATGTATGCAGTTCGGATTCTGTCTTTTGAAATACTATTATTCGTATCAGGTGAATGAAATATTGTATTGAGGCACTTTACAAAGACTTGTGCATAACATTTGGTAACTTTACGAAATTGGCCCATTGCGAGGATCATAATGAGCATATAAAATATTAATATATTGCATGTGTAGCGCCAAACAAAAGGCTAGATTACGTAGAGGATGTTGAGTTGTGAATTAATTTTACCTCTGCAATTTGGACTCATTAACAGAGGAATGTGTCGAAAATTATTCCACCTTTATTTGCAACAGTGTATATGAATATACCGTGCGTCCCTAAAAAAAAACTATACACTTTTGAAATGGCTGTCGAATAAAAAATCTATGATTCTGGGGGAAAAGTTTTATATGTATGGAAAGCTCATAAACTCAACTTTCATATGACACCAGAAAGTTTGAAAAGGATTAATGCTTGGGTGAGCACTGCTCACTTTTGTAAAGGGTATGAAAATTAGGTTGCGCAGGAATTAGCCTTCCAATTTGTGAGAGGTAAATCCTTTGGAGCTTACACAATTGAGCATACATATAAAACTTTCCCCCCATAATTATATATTTTTTATTCGGCAGCCATTTCAAAAGTGTATAGTTTTTTTGGGGGACGCACGGTATTACATGTGTGTAGGTGCGTGCGTGCGTGTGTGTAGGTGCAAGCGTGCGTGTGTGTGTATATACGTATGTGGGGGTATAGGGTCAGTGAGAGTATCATCGAATTTCAAATGCTGAATGTTTGTACATAATTTTATACATATGGTATTAAAGATTTTCGTTTTTTAATAAACAATTCTTCGTTTCTTCAGTCCTTGATTCAGTACACTCAAATGCAGAAAGAAGGAGAGAGAGGAAAGGTAGTGAGAAAGAGAGGAGCTAGATAATTAGATATTGAACGAAAACGGGAAAGAGAGAGAGGGAAAGGGAAGAGAAAGACAGTAAGAAAAAAGAGAGTCGAAGAGCTTTTGGAGAGAGAGAGAGAGAGAAAGGGAGGGAGGGAGAGAGAGAGAGAGAGAGAGCAAGACAGATAAATAAGATATTGAATTTTAAACCCGCAATGAATATCCCTTCAATAAAAAGGTGTTAATCATACATTTCTGTAAAAACAATAGACCACAAAGAACATTAGAACAATCAACACTTCACGGATATCAATTTATTTCACAAAAATATCATATTTACAATCAAGATCAATTGCAACTAATAATAATATCGTCCTATGAGAATACAATCACAATATCAGGCACAGATCCAGGAATTTTGGAAAGTGGGCACAATGAAAGACGGACAGAAGCGGCGCGTTAGCGCAGCATTCCGCCCTTGTGTTGCGCGGAAAGAAGGGGGGGGGTGTCTGAGTGGGGATGTGCCCCCCCCCCCCCTGACCATCCCCCTCCCCAAACTAAGAAAATTTCAAATCAATTCACGCGATTTGGTGTGTACTTTTTAAAAAGGGAACAAAAATTTGGCAAAATTGTACGCGTACACACCACTGGATGACGGGCAGTTCAGTACCAACACTGAAACGAGTAATCCATACTTGTTTATTTTCCCCCTTTTCTCGTTTTTGTCCTCGTTTTTTTTTTGAACGCCGCCAATGGGGGGGGGGGGGGTCACTTATTTTAGGTCAGTCATTGGCATACCTTTTTTTTCACAAAAAACATACACAAAATATACACATAAAAAAAATCAAGGAGGGGGGGGTTAACCCCCCTCCCCTTGTGTACGCGCCTTTACTAACATAATAAACATGATAGACACGATCACACATGAGCATATCACACGATATATGTATTAAAAAGTACAAGAATATAATTTGCCAAGAAATAAACGATGGTCCCTAAATATTGCACATCAAAATGATGTTCGAATAAGGAAAATACACCTTCTGGGCTTTGAAAGTAGCAAAAGAGTGTTGTTATGAGTTTAATAAATCAATGTCGTAACTAATTCCCCATCTCGCCCTTATTCCATCTAAATGTATATTCAAAGATTTCCTTTCAACATTTTCCCCTACTCAGGCATCCTCCACATGCGAAATGGCATAATCACTGCAACAATGGGCACCATGGATAGTAGTAGGAAGGGGGACATATTCAATCAATCTCGAAAAAGACTGGGCTAATCTCATAATATCAACAAATAATTATAGGATTCATAGATCAGATTCCAAGGGAATGATTTACCAATATGAGAGTTAGTTTTAAAGTTTTTGGCCTAGGTCATGAAGAGCTCAAAAGAAGAAATGGGGACAAGTTAGAGAGTCTAATGTGTAATTATACGAAAGTCGTATAACATTCGACGCTTATATTTAAAATAAAAACACCATTCGTATTTATCTCAATTCATGGGCTAACTGGGGGGGGGGGGGAGGGCGGGGGGGGGGGGGTAGTTGTGATAAATTTAAAACATTTAATAAGAAATCCGAATAAGAAAAGAATATTGATTTACGTCAGTATCAATTTTTCCAGGCACCAAAGATAAAAATCCCCTTATCCTGTGGCATACATTATATGGGATTCGGTGCCGTGTCAGGGATCCGACCTCGCATCTTGTAATCAACAGAATAGGGACTTTCCACTGGACCAAAAACACCTGTTTTGCCTCTTCCTTTGGGGGTGGGGGAGGTGAAGGGGGAGGGGGTCCCTTTCAGTTCATGATATTTGCTTTCATTACACTGTTATGTCTCGACGATAGAAATTCCCTGAGATAATATGTACATATTTCTGAATCATGAATGTATGGTATTGACAAATACTTAACTCAGCATGTTTGTATTTTCATGTAGGTGAATTTTGAAATCCCCCCAAATAATAATATACTCCTTGATTATTCAAAATTTGCGGTCGAACGTTCACTGGATTCATTTTGCATATGACGCAACATGAACCCCATAACATACTCCCCGCGCTTCATGACATTACAAAAAAGTAGTCACAAATTGTTGATTTGGATAGTTGTGAGGTTGTATGATAAGTCATGCTCCGGTGACAATCGCTCCGCGGTTAATTTCCTACATTGACGTAAATCCTAAACTTTAACCTAGAAAAACGCTAAACCTACCCCTAACCTTAACCCTAATCTAAACCCCAATTGCAACCCTTACCATAACCCTGTTCCTTTGACAAGATAAAGCCCGGAGCAAATGTCGACAGAGCAAGGGAAGGATCAGCGTCTATATCAAACATACATACAATTCAGAATAGCATTGCTCGACAGTTCGAAACTACAACTATAAACAAATTCAAAAAATTGACTTTACACAGACAAACTTATCTATTTTCCAAGGGAAGCTCATAGTAATACACATCGCAGTGCATGTTTTTTTAATTTTTTTTAATTGATTCTTATTCAATGTATTACTATTTTTTTTTCTTCAATATCTTTTATTTCCTGTTTGCATTTATATGAAAAATTACCAAAAATACCCACAAAAGACATGCTTCAAAGTGAAATATTTCACAAGGTGTTTTCTTTCATTGGTAAGCATAAATTCTCAACACGTTTTAGGTGGATATTCCCTCACATCCTAACAATATGAAGTAGTGCACTTGCCTTGCTTAAATGTATAGTTATAGTTACAACGTGAAGTATGTGATATGGAGCATGTACATGGAATTTCTTTCAGTACCCATACCATGTTAATTATTTGTTGAGCCAATCACAAAATCATATTTTTGTAAATAGGAGAATATTTACCAACATTCTTACGGAGTAATCTACACTTATTTACATTAAATTCGTTGTCATGACCATGGGAACGTTCTGTTTAACAAGTTTTCTAACTCCATGTTATAAGGCCTGTAGAATTCACTCAATTTGTTGATCACATAATCATCCACCTGCGGATGAGGGCGCCCCTTTCCTTTCGCCATACAAGTATTGAGTGGTTCTTTCAAACAGTAGAAATGTTTTTGCTCATCAAAGTAGAAGTGGTCCTCGGTGAAAAACTGCCGGATACCCAGGAAGGATTCTACACGGTGCATTGTGGGAGTTGGATCCTTGACAAACTCCTCTCCATCAAGGATAAGAAACCGGTCTAAGGGAAAGTACTGAAGCCATTGGCGAAAATATTTGACGTAGATACCGGAGTCGACGAGTGAATTGTAGTCCTTGACGGTGCCATTTTGAAAGAGGACAGACTCCCTGAATGTTTCAAAAGCTTCGTACCTGATTTTATTTCCATATTTGGGTTTAATATGGAGCAGCTTTGCACCATCAACACTCGTTACATCTACGTACCTCATGTGTACGAAGTCAGAGATAGCACGGTTGACGGGATCGCGGATGATGACGATGAACTTAACGTCGGGAATGGCGATTTTCAGACGTTTGGCCACCACGAGGCGAATGAAATATCCCGGTGTTTTTTCCATGGTCACCTGCTGCGGTGTCGAGTATGGCATTAAGGAGCTGTATTCATCCAATGTGACGAGATTGTGATTATTGATGAACTTGAGCTCTTTCTCAGCAAACGCGACATCTGGATGATAGCTCAGAAAGTTCTTAAGCGTTGTCGTGCCACTCTTCTTGGTCCCTATTACGATCGTGGAGGGCGCCCTTTTGGAGCAGTTGAGTAGACGTAATTCCGAAGACTTCTTGAGCATAAATTGAGGTGGCTGGTCCTGGACTATTTGATAGCAACCATGGTCTATCGTTAATCTTCCGCAGGAAACATTAGCAACTGTAACTCGATTTGAATGGTTTGCATCTTGACCTCTATCCTTGTTTGTGAGAGGTAAATCATGTCTTCGTGAATATAGTGTAGCATGTGAATCATTGGCCAGCAGAAAGAATGTAGTTAAGAATAAAAATGAAACACAGGCGAGAAGAATCCCGTTTTTAGAAAAGGGACGCTTGGACGCTGATGTAAAAAAAATAATGGCGTTTTTCTCCATTTTGCGTGTTCGTTTCTCCAAAGAGTCGAGCTCCCTCTGAAGTCGGTCAAGTTTGTATTTACATCAAATTTGACGCACGTCCTCAGGCGGCCGACGTCAGCAATGCATTCGTTCCGAGGAGAGACAGAAATGTCGAGGCAGCAAAACAATGCAAGGTTTAACTCACATGCCCTGGTTTGACGGGCTGTTTGTGATGTTACGCTACTCTTGGTCTCTTCCAAACATATCTGGAAAGAAAAGAGAATAAATGAGACTTAAATATAACAATTAGGTAATAATTTCACAATAAACTGTAGCATAATAATGTTAAGAATAACGAATATGAGTTACTACATACTCAATAGCTCGAGCGTTTTTAGAGCAAGTAAACTCTTGATAGAAAGACCTGTCCTTGGGATGAATTAATGTAGGAATGAGACCTTATATACCTCAGTCACACAGCCAAAGCGACTCTAAACGACCATTTTGGGGGCATTTAGGCATGATGTTATTTTTGAATTGGTCTTTTGTCGGTCTCGTTGGTGTGACTAAGGTATCAGAAAACATTTACTTTAAAGTGACTCAGTAACATTGTTGAAGGTTGATGAAAAACTGCGTAGCTTTTGTATGAAATGTTACTTATTATATTCCTTCTACCGTACTAACCCTCTAACACGCAAGCGAAACCTGAGTTTTTTTTCTTCTTCAAAGCACAAAGAAATTTATCGTTGTCTTTGAAGGCGTCACTATGCAACATCCTCTATAACAGTAAATTCTTCCAACCAATTTTTGAATTTACCCAACCGTTTATCCATGAAAATAACCCTAAAACTTGACTGTAGAATTATTGTCCTCCTAATGACAATGTCTTCTTAATGAATCACTTTTTTCACTCCAAATGTCCGTCTAATGACGCCTTTAGTAAAATATGTGTTTATATATATATATATACGTAGGGGCCACACTAATTTTCATATAACATCCTGAATCTATTGTTAGCTAGGCTATTCTAGCAACTGAGAACGTTTAGTGCTACCGTCGTGTAGTATCTCTTTGGTACAACAGCTCATACAGAAAGACAGCCTGGACTGGCCCCAGACAAAAACGCAGGAAATTTGTAATACTTCCTCTATCAAACATATTGTGGCACGCGATTTCTGCGAGACCCCCCCCCCCCCCCCCCCTCCCTCTATTATTTCCATCGAGTCACTAACGATGGCTCATATTATAAATGGCACTCCAATCGAGGAATCCAAGTCGAATCGGATAGCTAAAAAATCTTCCATTCCTCCTCTATGCTACATCTCTTTTGCCTCCACTTTCATGTAATTCAAGTCATAGTTTGTGGTATTGTGATTTCCTCTCCCCCTCTCCAGTTCTGTCTCTGTCTCTGTCCCTCTGTCTCTGTCTCTGTCTCTGTCTCTGTCCCTCTGTCTCTGTTTCTCTCTCTCTCTCTCTCTCTCTCCCGCCCTCCATCCCTCTCGTCTCGTCCCACTGCGACTGGTGTGAAGATTTCATATTTCTCATACACATCTCAGTGTTTCCCCTGTCAGCCTAAATTGCAATCCAGGACGACCGATCAAACCAAATCAAATTACATCAATCTCCACATGAAATCAATGAATCTGAGGTTCCAATGTCACAGAATCATATAAAAGTGAAGAAGATATAACCAGCTGAGCTGTATATTTGCAGTGACAGCCATTTACATTTAAAGAAGGTTAAGATCTTGTAATGATGATAAACAAGTTGTGAGCGTTCTCATTCACGGTAATCTGTATGCCAGCTTGGAAGAACACTGGAAGAACATCATAGTAGAAATGTCTCCTGAAAAGGTTTGGTGCCCTCGTTTTCAAAATAAGACATACAGGCCCGAATTCACAAAGGAGGTTTGTCGACAAACCTCCTTTTGTTTCGACAAACCTCCTTTAGTTTTTTACAAACCAGGTTTGTGAAAAACGCGTCAAAACGCGTCATATGACGTACATAAACCTCGGTTTGTCGAAAAACCTCCTTTGTGAATTCGGGCCACAAAAGCTGAAGAGTTTGGATCAAACGTTTGTGTGTAGTCCCATACACCAATAGATGTGTGCAGTGAAAGTGATCTTCAGCAGCACTGAGCCAATTTCTTTTTGTTTTTGATAATTTAAAACTTCACAGTATATAAATCTCTCGTACTGCATAATTATCCTTTCTTGGTCAAATCTCCCTCTCTCTCTCCATCCCTTTCTCTCTCTCCCTCTCTCTCTCTCTCTCTCTCTCCCCTAACTCTCTACCTTTCAATCACTATCCCTCCATACCAATACCTATCTCCAGATCATAACATGTTTGGCATTTGCTCTTCTTCCTTATAAAATATCAAGCTTCGGGAGGCTATAAATGCTATAATATTAATTTTGATAGCGGCATAAAACGTTGCTTTATTTTTCTCGCCCCTACCGCAACGAGGTCAGAAATGGCTAAACAGAAGATGAGGAAAGATTGAACGCGAGTTATCTGTTTATCATGGACGTACAGAGAAACCATTTCTTACCCTATAATTTTTTATATGCGGGATTGGGACGCAAAATCCCTATTCGAACACGGGTGAATTTTGTTATTACCACGGTAGTATATACACTGTTGGTCATAATGGTGGAATAATTATTTATACCCCAATTTATGGAATGATTTTGACAATGATTTATTCCTAGTAGTATGCATTCTCAGATTTTATTGAATATATTATATACTATATTAATGCCCTTCTGTGAATCATTAATCCATATTACTGTCAGTTATGACTTAAGGACGTATAGGCCCCCTAATTGATTAGCATAGTAGCACTAGCAAACTTATGCTTTCGTAGTCACGAAAAACAAACACTAACAAATTATTATTCAATAAAATCTGAGAACGTATACTGTTATCTAGATTTATTAGGAATAAGTCATTGTCAAAATCATTCCATAAATTGGGGTAAAAATAATTATTCCACCATTATGACCAACAGTGAATTATAAACATGTATAGATATATATAAAATCAAATCACAATCGATTAACACCACTTTACTGGTATGTTTAACACTGAACAATTGCAATAACGAGTAGTGATGGTATATGACTCACACATATATTTGTTTCTTCTTTGAACCGTAACTTCGTAAGAAATATCTTTATATGATTTTGACACCTCCGTACTAGTCACTCAAGATGTCAATACTTATAACGACGGTTCGCGTGCCAGGGTATTATTTGCGATGGTCTCTTTTATGGCTTGACTCGGCGATTGAAATGAAATGAGTCGACTCAGTATTGACACGCAACATGATTCTTCTATAGCAAGATGAACTAGTTTGTTCTTGATCTTTTCCTCTGTTCCCTAACCCTTTACATTTCTCTTTTAGTGTTTGGGTCTCCTTAATTTTTCTTCTCTCTCTCTCAAATACAACTGTTCGGGTTGTTCTGGATATGTCCTTCCCCCACACCAACGGCACGTCATTACTACATGTTATCCTCTCATCAGTCACTGATTGAAGCCATCAAATTATATATTGATGGTATCTGTAGGAAGGGAGTTTTAAGTAGTTGGTGAAGATTGATATATACAACTTGAGTAGTTGTGGCATGAACTCTATTCTCCCTTTCATCATGTAAATACACATACCTTCCTCCTGCTGCCTATTCCATCTTACTTCGATGTTTATCTACTTCTAATTCTTCATTTGAAGCGGAAAATGCAATCCTTTTCCTTTCCTTACTCCTTCATAGGACTTACTTTACGCTCACTCGCTTCAGATATGTCATACTTTGCTTTCTAATGATTCAACAGCAGTTTAATATTTCACCTGTTTTTCCACTCTCTTCATTGTCAACAATCGTGTTTTCATTCCATTTCTACTTTTCTCTCTATTTCTTTCCATTTCTTTTTCTTCTGTTTCCTCTTCTTCTTCTTCTTCTTCTTCTTCTTCTTCTTCTTCTTCTTCTTCTTCTTCTTCTTCTTCCTTTTCTTTTTTTTTTCTTTCTATTGCCATTCATTTAATTTCTTTCTTTTTTGTGGGGCGTAAAGACTTACCCCTCCACTTCCTACATGCCCTAGAGTCGGGTGAAGATTCCAGGTCTCTTGTTCAATTTTTCTTCGATGATATCACAGTTGAAAAGTCAAATCGAAGATGCCCTAATTCTTCGATGTATACAACATCGCATATATTTTCTACAATCTGATATCATATTCATCCGCAGTTTGAGACTTGAATCCCCAAGATAGAGCAAGTGATACGGATCGTCTGGAGGTAATCTTCTCTAGTTTCATTATTATTGTCAATAATAAAGAATAGTTGTCATTTTGATGCGTTTATCGACATATGTGTTGAGAGACTGGGCGAGCCATCAAGGGGTGTCTCTTTTACCTATCCCATCAATGTATTTATTTATTTGTATTTATCAACTGATTTTCTTTGATTCTTTTTTCCATAGCTCGCTTTGTCTATCGCTGTGGATCTACTTAAAAGGTCATTTCATGAAAAATTACAGAAACAACACATTAACATGATACGTTCATATAAGTATAACCCCAAATATAATATTTGAAAATGTACATCTCTTGATATCTATCTGAATATATTACGTAGTCATAATAACATCATTTATTATTTAATTTCTATTATTTAAAAGAAAATCCTTTTTTTAAACAGATTTCATGAAATCACATTATCTACATTACTTTAGACAACCCAAGCAAAGACTACATACCTGTTTTTAGGGGAGAGGCCTTACACATGCTCAAAGAAAAGACAACAATAGCTCTGTTTGTTTTTTGTTTCTTGATTCCTTCCGCACAGGAAGCCTCTAATGATAGCTATGAATTAAAGACGTGTTACTTCAACCAAGAAACATTATACATGTACCTGAGAGAATCATGTGAGAGCACACTTTATATAGGCTGTGGTTGATACACAGGGGATTTTCACACGTGTAGCTACATGGTCATGGATCCTGGTCATGGATATACTGGGAAAAGTAAGAGCACCACGCATTTAAGGAGGGTCTATAGTTCAGGTCCATGGTTCAAAGAATGATCTAAAGATGTACTCCGATTACTCGTCTTATTTGGAATTAAAAAGCTGACACTTTCTTTTCAAGGAGCATATTACCAACTTTTGAACTGTGATTGTGCGAAGGGAGGGAGGGGGGGGGGGGGTTGTAATAGGTTGAGGATGGGGTGGTAGTATGATCAAGTTGATCACCATTCACCACACACTTTAGAA